TATCTAACCTACGGTAATATAGTCTGGGGATGCGCCTACAAAACCACACTACAGCCCCTAGTATTACTCCAAAAAAGATTTGTTCGTTCAGCCACCGGCGCCAGTTTCCACGCACATTCTGCACCTTTGTTTACAAAACTTAATATTTTGAATATTTTGACATAAACAAACTTCATCTGATGCTATTTACGTTTAAATTCCTTACTTGTTCTCTTCCAGACACATTTAATGGTCTTCTAAATCTTAATTCCCATTTTCATACTTACCATACTCGACAAAGTGCCCATTTCCATATCCCCGTAGTTAGAACGTCCGTAGCCCAAATGAGTGTAAATATAAATGTATAACTACTTGGAATAATCTCCCGCTCCACCTAAAATGTTTAACATCAATAATTAGCTTTAAACGAAATCTTAAAAATCACCTACTTTTCTTTTCCACCGACATTTGATTTCTTATTACTTTGATTTTATCTGTATAAGTTTGAATCTCCGTTTCTCTTTAAAATTCATTTATTTTCTTGAGTTATTGCTTCAATTCTGCCAATGTCTGTATTGCAGTTAAAGTTCTGTTAACGTTAAAGTTATAGTTTTTAACATATCATTTCTAATTAGCGTTATTTATCAATCACTTTTGTTATTCATGTTACTATTTGTTTTGTTACTATCATCATTTTGATCATATTGATCAAATTTATTAATTACCTATTGTTATTTATTATTATCATTTGATTTGTTAGCACTATTTCAGTTGTTAATTACTTTTGTAATTAATTCAATTATGTTTAGTTTTGGTTAGTATAGAGGAGGAGGGCTTAGCATAAGCTAAATAAGCTTTTTCCCTCCTCCTGCACCTGTTTTATTTGTTATTAGTGTATTATGTATAATTTTTATTGCTGTTGTGCAAATAAACAAACAAACAAACAAACAAAATAATGTATGTAGGGTTAGCAGAAGGCTATGGTTAGGGTGGGTGATACATGTACAAAATGTAGGTCTTCTCTGGTAAAACCAATAGAACTGAAACTCTAGTTGGTGGACCTGGTGTTTGTCATGGTTATCCTGCTGGTTTAAGTGTTGGGTTAGGCTAGAGTTAGTGATAACCTTATGTGTTTGTTGGTTTATTTGTATCTTGGATCTTGTTTTCTTCCTGGTGATTCTGCTGTTGTTAGGGTTTAAGTGAGGAGTAAGGGTAGAGTTAGTGTTTGTTTGTTTGTTTACAGTTGGTGGACCTGGTGTTTTTCCTGGTGATTCTGCTGGTGTTCATCTTTGCGTACGGAGTGATGCGGCACACGCTGATGTTTGTTTGTTTGTTTGTTTGTTTGTTTACAGTTAGTGGACCTGGTGTTTTTCCTGGTGATCCTGCTGGTGTTTATCTTTGCGTACGGAGTGATGCGGCACACGCTGATGTTTGTTTGTTTGTTTGTTTGTTTACAGTTAGTGGACCTGGTGTTTTTCCTGGTGATCCTGCTGGTGTTTATCTTTGCGTACGGAGTGATGCGGCACACGCTGATGTTTGTTTGTTTGTTTGTTTACAGTTGGTGGACCTGGTGTTTTTCCTGGTGATCCTGCTGGTGTTTATCTTTGCGTACGGCGTGATGCGGCACACGCTGATGTTTGTTTGTTTGTTTGTTTGTTTGTTTACAGTTGGTGGACCTGGTGTTTTTCCTGGTGATCCTGCTGGTGTTTATCTTTGCGTACGGAGTGATGCGGCACACGCTGATGTTTGTTTGTTTGTTTGTTTGTTTACAGTTAGTGGACCTGGTGTTTTTCCTGGTGATCCTGCTGGTGTTTATCTTTGCGTACGGCGTGATGCGGCACACGCTGATCTACCCAAACAGCCCTGCGGAGTGGTCGCTGATCATGAACGTCTCGCTCATCCCGTACTGGCAGGTCTACGGGGAACTGTTCGTGGACGAAGTGGAGGGGACAACGCCACACGGTCAGTATTAGCACTACAACACATCGTAGTCACTACATACAACGCCGCATGGTCAGTATCACACAATCCTTACACAGCACTAGTACTACATGTAGTACTACAACACCACACTGTAAGCACTATAGGG